TTCCTCCTCCTCCTCTAGATGATGGTTTGGACTTAGATTGGAATTGTAGAATTATAGGTCGTTGTTGGGATGATAGAATCGATTACAATCCTCTTATGATTCAGAGACTTGTTTCAAGATTTTGGCACCTACGTGCTCCTGTTCGTGTCTTTCCATATGGTCGTGATTACATCTTTTTTTGAGGTACTCAGGCGGATGCTGAGGAACTTGACTCTAGAGGGTGGGTTCACTTCCGAGGTGGTTTGTTTGTTCTTCAAAGCCTTCGAGGTCACTAGGTGCCTCACAATCTCAACCTTCACCTGGTTGACTTATGGGTTCAAGTGGAGGGTCTTCCAGTTCGTTATTCTACTCCGGATATAGTCTCAATTGTCTTATCCCATGTTGGAGAGGTAACTATGGTGGATGACTCTAACGGTCAGTTTCCTATTCCATACCCTCGTGTTAAAATTCTAGTTGACCTATCGTTGCCCTTGATTCTTGGTTGTTACTTTCCTACTATTAATAATCAAGTCACGTGGGTTCGTTTTAAATACGAGGGTATCTTTAGATTTTGCAAAAAGTGTGGTTTTGTCGGGCATAGTAGGAATTTTTGTACTTCGGAACAGGCATCAATTAATTATCATCTAGAGGCTAGCTTTCGTCAGCTCCACGAAAGCGGCGCTCGTGTGCTATATGGTCCTACCGATACCAATTTATATTCTAATGCCTTGCGAGGCATTCGCCCAGTTCGTGCAAATTGGACCACAGAAGTGTTCTTTAGTGATTATGATGATGAGGATCCGATGGAAAATTCTGCTGATTCTCGACCGTCTGATTATGACAGTGGTGGTCTAGGCCTTCCCTTGGCTTCGCACGATACTCGTTCAGGTTCCTCTGTTAATAATCATGCTATGGCAGACTCTTTTCCAGGTCTTTCTCCACCACCGGAGTCTGGTGTTTTCCGGAGCCGTCAGCATGAAGTTAGGCGGAGACACTTAGGCAATACTCGCTCTATTCGAGAACAACTTGAAACTCAAGACTATGTTGACACTTCAACTCCACGTGTCACTCATGCATATTCCGATGGGAATGGTTGGCATCATGGTGTGAGTTGGGGATCAGGAAATTCAGAAGGGAATTCTTGTCTAAATGACTCACGTGATGGCTGGCGGCAGTTCTTGGACTCTTCTGATGTTCAAGATTTGTCTAACAATGTTCAAGAAGCCTCAAGTTTTGGACATGTGGGCCGTCATAACTCAGGTTGGGCCTTGAGTTCCAGAATTGTTTTCTCATAGCCCAGTTCTCCTTCTACGAATGGGTTTTATTATAATGGATATTATAATGTTCCAAACTTGGGCTGGCCCAGTTTTTCTAATGATCCATATTTTCAAGCTTCTCAAGTGGGTTTGAATTCGGATCAAGTCGTGCCTATTCCGAATTCGGATTTACCGTATTTTTCACCACCTCCTTTAGGCCCATCTGGTCCGATTTTCGAAGATCCATTTGGGGATGGCCCAAGTAACCGGGAGGGGACGACGGCGGCTGCGACTTCTCATTCACCATCACCTTTGCCGTCTCTTTCCTCTTCATTTCCGGTTTGCAACTCGGAAAACTCAAGCTATATAGCTGATTCTTCTTCACAAGCGTTCGAATTTCAGCCTGCTCTCCAAACTGATTACGAATCAGCCTCTAGTGAGCATGATTCTTTAGGTCCCGATTCGGATTCCTCTGTCTCAGACTCAGTGGTTCCAATGGACTGCTCACCGCCTTTTTCGCCGCCAATGGAGGATACTGTTGCTTCCACTCCACCTAAATCTTCAACCTGTTCTCCTTTGCGCAAAGTTGGAAACAAACTGAAGACTTATTCTAGTCTTAAATTGTAACACCCTAGAAATTCCTTTATTTTAATATACCTGTTTTGCCCTGTATAAAACTTTGAATAGGAATATCTAAGACATTACCTCCACCGTGAAAACGGTTAAGGCAAATATCAAAGATACACAGCGGAAGACTAATTTTAAAAACCTTTCCAAAACAAACCAACTTGAAAAGCTAACCAAACGAAAGTAAAGTTAAAACCAAAATGAGCGAAGTAAAATGAAAATCAACCTACAACTTGGAACCATTAAAGGTTATTAAAAACCAAACCAAATCCAAACTTGATGTTAGCTTCACATATAAATATTAGCATAAATAATTAAAGTAGAAACACATTATAACTAATATAAACTAGCATGATTCGCTCTTCACTCGTGCCCCATCATGAATATGCCTCAATACTTGAAAAGCTTATCTCTACTTGTCTCCACTACTCTCCATTAAAAATGGGTCATCATAGGGCCAAGATAAAGACATGGCCAAAACACACAAACACACACAATCAACAAAGATGAGTACATAAGCGTAATTAAACACACTAACATGCTTTTACCTATCAACACACACTTACCTCATTGCACCTGTTCACAAGCACACACACCAATCAACAAGACACAATGACTAGACACTAATTAATTCATTTTGCATTGATTACGCATCGAACGGGTTTCCACCTATTAACCTCCCCCAAATAAATTTGAGGTTAACTGGCACGGGAGCTAACCGTGCCAGCGACAAAATCACATAAAGGTGGCGAAATTCCTGCGCATAATAATAAATAATAAAAAAGGAATATACAGCGTCCTGTACTCCATTGGAAGTTATGGTTAAATATGAAACCCCATAACTCCCCCCATTGTTCATACTCAAGGTATATACGTTCCAAGAGTTTTGGTGCGTAATCTCTTTCACTTTATGTTATTTACATATTATTAGATTTGGTGATGACTCTCAAAGTATAATAAGTCAATCAACAATAATTACACAATCAAACAAACATACCAATTTAATTCTTGAATAATTAGTGACCACATATTATTTATTGTTGAACCCTTTTTAATTCTACCTCAGTGTCAAAGACACCTTAAACGCATAATGCGCCAAAAATCCTATCCCTCGGTGTTAAAAACACCTTAAGTGCACAAAGGCACCAATATACAATTTATTCCTTGTGTACATAGACACTTATATAGCTCCTTCCTCATGCTTAAAGCATCAATAAAAATTATTTGAACCATAATAAAATTCCTTTTCAATATTCCAAACATAATTAAACATGTAGTTTAATTAATCATGCCTTCTAACATGCCATAAATAAAAATGTGGTTCAAACACAACATGCCCAAAATATAATCTTCCAATCTATAACCATCACAAATAATTCATGCTTCCCAATTCAACCACAAACATCATAAATTCACAATTCCATACATAAACCTTAGCATGATACTACTTGTAATTAATTGAAATCAAGCCTAGCATGATTCTACATCATCAAAATATGCTAAGTACGCGAACGTACCTCAATTAAGCTCTTAAAATGGTCAATTACACTACAACACCTCTCGAACCAAGTCTCCTACATAAAGGGACAATAAACCTATATTAATTACCTTAGTATACACAAATTTCCAGCAACTTTTAAACATTTTAAAACCTCACTAACAAGCTGAAATTTTGGTTTAAAACCTTTAAAACTCTCTTTCTAAGAGAGTAATTAAAACCACAAAGTGAAAACTCAATTATAGTGTTCATATAAAAATTCCAGCATACTTTTTAAGGCTTAAACCCTTTAAAAAAAATCTGAAAATTATATTAAAACCACTTAAAATATTCTCTACTTATGGGTAATCAACTCCCTTTAATTAATACACAAAAGTAGTATGTAAATAAAAATTCCAGCATTATTCTATTAACAAAAACCCATTAAAATTTCATTAAAACTCCATAAAGATACAATATTTAAGCTTTATTACCACTTACAATCAATGGGTATTTAAAACCCCCAAATCAATTGTGAGTTAGAACCCTAAAAATCAACACTTTAATAATTAAAACTCTAACTTATAATTTTATGAAATCTGAAAATAAAACACTTTATTATTTAAAATTTACAATCTTTAATCATCAAAACATAATTATGATACTAATCAAACATACTTTGGATAATTAAATCCAAAACCCATAAATAAAATCATCAAAATAGCTAGAATGAAAAGAGGAGAGAAAAGGGAAGAAGGAGGTGACCCGTGGTGGTGGTGGTTGGCTGGTCGCCGGCGGCTGCTGGGCGGCCGGAGTTCCGACTGGACTGCCGGACAGCAGTGGGTCGGTGGTCGAACCCACGTCATGGCAGGTTTGGGGTTCCTACGTGAAAACAAAGAGGAAATTAAAGGAAATAAAGAAGAAAGAGAAAAAAGAAAAGAAGGAAAAGAGGAGAGGGGGCGGCGTGGCTGCTGGGGTCGCCGGTAGTGGCTGACCGTTCCCGGCGGCGGCAACAGCGTGGGGTGGAGTAACACTTGGAACCCCTTGGTGCAAATCTTACGTGAAGGCAACTAAATGGGGAAGAAGAAGGAAGAGGAAAAATAATCCAATTTGACCATTTGACTTTTGTGTGGGGAAATTTTGGGGATCTAGTAGATATATATAGTGTAGGGTAATTAGTGTAGGTTTGGGCTTCATAAAAATAATGGACTTAAATGATGAAGTAGGTGGCCCAAAAGTAAAAATAAGATGATTGGGTTCAATAAAGATGGGCTACGTTTGGATTAAATACTTATTGACCCAAATATAAATACTTGCTTTATTTATAATTCAATAATTAAAATAGTTTGACCCAAAATATATTTTATAATTAAATAAATAATTTATAAAATACATTAAAAATACGGGGTATTACATAAATTGAGGAAGAGCAGAGAAAAAATGTGGGAATGGGTTAAGCAACGAGGGCCTCGTAAGCGAGCGGGTGGCGCACTTTCTCCTTCTGCCCCTCCTCTTCCAGATGATCAGCAGCAACAATACTCAACTCCCCCTTGTCTTTCTTGTTTTCTTCCTTACAAGAAATGCAAGGCCGATGTTTCTTCTGTCTCTCTTGAGTCTTCTGAGGGATCGGTGACCTTTCGGGAAAGGTCACCAAATGCGGGATGAAAGTGGCACTTTGGAATTGTAGGGGTTTAGGACAGGCGGACTCCCCTAAAATTCCTTATATTACCTCTCTAGTCCGCTCTCATGGAGTAGATATACTGTGTCTTTTGGAAACTATGCTTTCTGTAGATAGTGTTGTGCGGAAATTAGCATCATTGCCTTTTTTGGGTTGTTGTGGAATTGATGCTGATGGCCTTAGCGGTGTTATGTTTATTTGCCGGTTTACTCCATTAGGTTTAGTTCCTGTTTATAGTTCCCAAAATGTATATCTGTGTAAATTAGTACAAGGAGATGAAATAAAACATGTGATGTTTGTGTATGGTTCGCCCCATGTTACTAATCGTTCGGAGATTTGGTACTTGATTAGTAACATTATAGAATCACTTTCAAATGTGATCATTATTGGAGATTTTAACCAAGTGGAATACTTTTCGGACAAGTTAGGAGGTAACCTTTCAATTCCAGGGCAAATGGAATTTATAAATTGGCATATGGGTTTGGATCTAGTAGATGTTCCTTTTCCGGGACCTCGGTATACCTGGACTTATAATAGACTTGATTTGGATCCTATTTTTGAGCACTTAAATAGAGCTTATGCCTCCCCCACCTGGTTTCTGGAATATCTTGACACTAGACTTACTCATCAGCCAATTTTATTTTCGGATCACGCCGCGATTATTCTAGCCGATTCAGCTGATTATGATGATATTAAGCAACCCTATAAAATTGAAAACTGGTGTTTATCTGTTCCAGCCATACACGACATTATTTCTTCGATTTTTTCCATGTTTTTTCCAGGATCTCCTATGTTTGCTTTATCTAGAAAGCTTTCGGTTTCTCGAGATCGTCTTTTAGCTTGGTGTATTTCTCATAAGAAAGCTTGGGGTATTAACTGGAAACAACTAGTTTTTGACATTCACCAAGCCTCACGATTTCTTGATACTCGGGTTGATCGCTGTTTGTTTATTTCCACTAAGAATGAGAAAGTCGCAGAAGCACAGGCTGCTTATATTTTCTGGCAACAACGAGCTAAGATAAAATGGGATGCTCTCGGGGATTCGCATTCTCGCATTCTATTTTCTTCTGTTCAATCTCGAAAAAGAAATAATAGGATCTTTGGTCTCAGAGATTCAAACGGAGAATGTCATCGCAACCCTAATCAAATAGCTTCTATTACCCAAGCCTTCTACAAGGATCTATTCACAACTTCGGCCTCTACTTCTTCTTATGATGAGGAATGGTGGGATAGTCTGCAATTGCCTTCCCTAACCTCATAACAACAGAAGTTTCTCATGGAGCCTTTTTCTCCGGAGGATATTAGGACAGCCATTTTTAGTATTGATGATAATAAATCTTCGGGTCCTGATGGCTTTCCCTAGGCTTTCTTTAAAAACTGTTGGGATGAGGTAAGCCCATCAGTGACAACTGCGGTTCTACATTTCTTTGCTCATGGTTATTTATTGAAAGATTGGAACCTTACTTTTTTGACATTACTTCCAAAGGTGGACAATCCGGAAGTTATCTCTCAGTTTTGCCCGATTGGTTTATGCAATGTCATTTACAAATGTGCTGCTAAGTGTCTCACCAGTCGTCTTCGTCAGGTGTTACCTAGTCTGGTTGCAGATTTTCAAAATGCTTTTGTCCCGGGTCGTCTCCTCTCGGATAATGCTTTAATAGCCCACGAGGTCATTTCCTTCATGAATAAGTCGAAAGCTAAGAAGAGGTTCTATGCAGCTATCAAGTTGGATATGAATAAGGCTTATGACAGGGTTAATTGGGAGTTTTTGTTTAGACTACTCCAAGCTTATGGTTTCCCGCCTTATTGGATTCACATTATTCGTCAATGTGTTTCTACAATCTCTTATCAAGTACTGGTTAATGGGAATCCTCTTCAGAATTTTCGTCCTCAATGTGGTCTTCGTCAAGGCGATCCTCTTTCCTCCTATTTATTTGTTCTCTGCATGGAAATCTTGTCTGCTATGATTCGAAAGGCGGAAAGAGCGTCCCTCTTCAAAGGAATTTGCATTTCCAGAAGTGCTCCTATGGTTTCTTACCTGTTCTTTGCTGACGATTCCTTATTATTTTTACAGGTTACTCCTGAAGCCTGTGAAAATCTTTCTGGTCTTCTATCAGAATTTTGCTCTTTGTCTGGACAGGTGATTAATTTACAGAAATCCTTTGTTAAATTTAGCCCCAATACTCCAGAGGACTATAAGGATTTCCTTGCTCGAAGGCTAAAGCTTCAAAGTAAACCCACACTGGGTTCTAACTTAGGTTTGCCAGTGGATCTAGGGCGCAACAAAGTTTCTGATTTTAGTTTTCTTATAGATAAGGTGGTTCAGCGTTTAACGGCTTTCGCCTCTTTGGGCCTTTCCTCAGCAGCGAAGTTGGTTATTATTAATTCGGTTTTGGTTGCTTCGTTTAATCACGTTCTTTCGGTTTTTCATATTCCCACTTCGATTTGCTCAAAGATTGACAACTTGTTGGCTCGTTTCTGGTGGAAGTCTGACTTTCGCTCTCGGGGTCTAGCTTTGCGCTCAAAGACTCTTTTACACCTTCCGAAGGGTTTGGGAGGTTTGGGGATTCGTCGTTTGAGCTCTTTCAATACTGTGTTGTTGGCTCGTCAGTGCTGGCGTATTCATCATCATCCTCAACTCTTAGTTTACAGGCTTCTTTCAGCCAAATATCCTTCTATTCACAATCTTCAGACTAGAAGGATTCCTGGTTCTTCTTGGGGATGTCAGGGTTTACGGCAAGGTCTGTCTATATTATCAGATGGTGCAGCTTGGAAAGTTGCATTTGGAGCTCAGGTTCGTATCCTTGAAGATTCTTGGGTTCCAGGAGAATCTATCTCTTTTAGAGATAATTGTGAGGCGCCTCTCCCGTCTCATGTTTCTTCTATCATCAATTCGCGTTCTTACGCGTGGGACACATCTATGGTTCATAATCTATTTGATTCTTCCACATCCAATCGTATTTTGGCTTTGGAACGGCTAAGTAGGCCAATGGATGATTTTGTATATTGGAAATTTACAAAGGATGGTTGTTTTAACGCCAAATCAGCCTACGCTATGATGCTCCGTCGCCTTGATTATAATGATGGCGCTTCTTATGTTTCGTCTTCGTGGTGGAAGATGTTTTGGGGTTTGCCTCTTATGCCAAAGCTTCAGTGCTTTTGCTGGAAGCTGCTTCATGATGCTTTGCCTCTCAATGGTGTTTTACAACTTCGTGGGGTTCCAGTGGACTCCACCTGTGTTTTCTGTCTTACTAAGAGGGAAACTGTGGACCATCTATTTCGTGATTACCCTTTTACCACTCCTGTCAGGAGTAGAGTCTCTATCATTTCGTCAATTGATGCTCGACAGGATGTTTCTTTCATAGATTGGTTCGTTAATTTGGTGGCGGATTTGCGGCAGGCTAAATCTTGGGAAATCTTGGTCAACTTGGTATCCTTTCTCTGGGCTGTTTGGATTGCTTGCAATCATAAAGTTTTTCGACAGGCTGTCATTTCTCCTGATTTTATTCATCGTATAATGCAAGACTGGGTTTCTCGGAGTTCTACTGCTCAAGATTTTAAAGTGATGGTTAAAGCTTCTACTTCAGGATCTCGTATTGAGCGTAGTTCTCCTTCTTCGTATTGTTGTGTTCGAGGCTTTCCTGGGACAACTCGTGAAATCTGTCTAATTTGTGATGGTGCCTTTAATGCTCGAGATTATTCTGCTGGTGCAGGATGTATTTTCAGAATTCCGGATTCGGATTGGGTTTTAGGTGGTGTATCTAGAGCTTTCATTTCCTCCTCGGCCCTTCATTCGAAATTACAGGCTTGTCTTTGGGCTCTTAAAGCTGCTGATCGTCGCGGGTTTAGCAGGTTGTTGGTTTACACAGATTACGCTACTCTGTTTCATTTTGTTCAAAATAAGAATGGTCGAGATATTGCATGCTTATGGATCTTTCAGGAGATTCTAGACGTCATCAACAGGTTTTCAACTTGTGATTTCAGGAAGGTTCCTCGTCAGTGGGTTGTTCCGGCTCATTGGCTGGTAGGCCAGGCTTGTCGTCGTCAATTACTTTTTTGGTCTGTTTAGTTTTTTTTAGTTGCCTTGTTTCTTTTCTCGTCTTGTCAAAAAAAAACCTTATACAATGACACAATACGAGTGTCAATTAGCTACATGACAATCATTTTTAAAAAAATCAGATGTACAATCAATAATATTGTATACTCGGTGTAGAGAATATTTCAAGCATTACCCCAAACTTGAACCCCCACTGTGATCATACACTAAAGTACGGTGGCATCCAAAGGGAAGGAAGCTAGAGCAAAAGAATCGCCAACAAGTTTTACGAACTTGTAAACCGTTCACAGGGTGAAGTTTACACCCCTTAACGATCCAGGAGATCGTTAACTCCAATAGGTCTAGAACTATACTGGAAGTTCGGGGATGAAGGTACAAATCCAATCTAAAAGAGAAAGAACCTGCCCTAACAATAAGCCTCTACTTTATTCTTCTCGTATTCATGTGCGCTTTCTGACTAACATGCAATCAATAGATTTACCCTAAACCTGTTTAATCTATGTTAGTTGAATATTAATGCACAAATAAAACTATTATTAGCGATCACTTGAATTATAATCAAATTAACCCTAAACAAGATTATTAATTATCTTATTAAGCGTGATTACAAGTACCAATTCCCTTTAAACATGCATAAAATGCGTGATCAAGCAATAACAACAATATAATCAAGCAACATAATAATAATCATCATAATAATATAATCATGATAAAGCATAATAATAGCAAAATCCTAGGCATGATACTAACAAGATTAATAACAAACCCTAGCATGTCACTAAACAGTAAACATCAAAGCTTTAACCCTAACATGATACTAACATGATATTAAGAAAGAAAATAGGAAGCATCATAGAAATCATAATTAATATAAGCAAATCACCCTAAATATCATACTAGGAAAAGCATTCTAACATGATACTAGGAATCAAAATAACAACCTAAACATGATCTCTATATCATAATATCAATTAAACAATTAAAGCACATACTTGGATGCCTCGTACCTCTTTCTAATAACAAAATACACACGTTAGTAACTTCAAGGAAAATATAAAATCGAACAATTAAATTAAATAATTGAAATAGAGATTTGGGACCAAACCCTCAGAAATACCAAACCTTTCACGTCTAGGGCGAAGGCAACTTCGAATTTGGCTAGGTGTGTCTAGATCTTGTGAATGCGGGATTTTGTTTGTAAAAGGTTGGTTTAGAATAAGAGAGATAGAGTATCAAGAGTTTCTTGATGAGAGTTTGTGATCCAAAATGAAGAATTTAGGAGGCTATTTATAACGAAAATCAGCCGGAATATGATAAAAAAGAATCAGAGTTTCGATAAGAATAGAACACGACACTGTCGCCACACAAGCCTCTGTCGCCGCAGCGACAGGGCTGTCCCCAAGCGACAACCTGTGGTGCGGCGCTACATACAATTTTTTTTCACACGTTTTCATATTTTGATAAAATTTAAGCGTACGAGGGGTAAAATTGTAATTTCCTTCAAAACACTTCTTTTTATTCTAAATAAAACTCTTAAAACTCAATTATCAATGCTAATCATATTAGGATTCAAAAGAACTTTCTAGAAGATTCTAGAAGACCATAATCAATCCTAATTGCATTAGGAATGATAAATCATAATAGGCCCTCCTCTAGATCATTGGGCCGCATATAAAGATCAAACCGGGCCCAGTTTAGTAATTTTGCCATAACTTCCTCATTATTCATTGAAATTGGGCTTATAATATATCATTGGAAAGCTTTTTTCGAACCCAATCCAACTACACTATTATTGGACCCTTTCCATGGACCAAACTAAACTAGATTGGATATTTTCATAAAATAGGTTTTCAAAAACAAAGAGAAAGAAGAGAAAATAAAAACTAACCGCAACACTAGACTTTTCACACTTGCACTTCATTCGATTATGATTCGACGTGAAAAGTATTCATCACCGGGTTTGGTTTTGGGGAGACACAAATGGGTGTCTACATAAGCCTCCACTTTGACTGAGTTTGGAGAAACGCAAGTTTCGAAAACAAAAGTCAAATTATTGATAGGGACGGAGAATGATTCAGAACGTTCTGCAATCCTAAATCATTCTTGTAACATCGATACCTGTAAAACTAGCGTTAGTTAAAACAGATAAGAGAGTTAAAGAAACGCGTATCTTGCACCGTCGAGCACACGTCTCTAGGGTAGCCGATTTGTTGCTGCATTTGTCGTTGTGACAACCTTTCACAAGCTAGGGAATGCCATCTTGCTGTTTTGATGTTCACTCTCTCTGAACAATAAAGCTTTTTTGGATATGTTCACGCGTCTCTAACAAAGAGATTTGAATGATATGCCCACGCATCTCTGAGCAAAAGAGCTTCAATGATATGTCCACGCGTCTCTGAACAAAGAGCTTTGATGATATGTCCACGCGTCTTTGAACAAAGAGCTTTAGCGATCTTCCTCAAGCTAGGGGGTACCGCTTGAAGACTGCTACGCTTGTAACTGCCTCCAATTTCGCTGTGATAGTCTCCTGCAAGCCAGAGAATCCTATCGAAGATTGCTTCGCCTGAAACGACCTTCTACCGCCTTATGACCATCTTTCGCAAGCTAGGGAATATGATCGAAGATTGCTTCGCCCGAGGCGATCCTCATTTGTTGCGATAATATTCTGAAGAATATCACCGAAGACCAACGCTTGCCGATCCTTTAAAGTTCGCTTGAACTTGCTTTTGCTATGCCAGTGCGCCGGTGCTTTTGCTGCTTATGAACTAGTATGTCGGTGCCTTTGCTGTTTATGAACCATTATGTCGGTGCCTTTGCGATGAGCCAATGTTTAGGCGCTTTAAGCTAAGTGAGACGATCATTTATCAGGTTGATCACTTAATGTGATTGTAACCGAGCCGATTACTAAATCATGTCAAAGTGTTTATAGGGGCTAACTAGCATACCAAGGAACCCAAAATTGATGTACGAGGTTGAAATAATCATTCTGAAAGGCTTAGCGTTCTATCGCCGCTGCAACGTCGCTGGCGCCGCGATTTCTCCCTGTCGCTCGGCACTGCACTCTGTCGCTCGGAGATAGAGTTGTCGTGCGACGCTGTAGTCGGGATTTTCGCATAATCCCCTTTCTTCCTCATTTCGCTGCTACTGCTTTCATTCATTTGAGTTTCGCCACAAAAACTTTGAATTGCTCGTTCTTACTCGTTTCTCAACCAAATTCGCTCAAATTTGTTGCAAATCAAAGCTTTGTTCATCTAGTTTTCTGATCTATGTAAGTTTTTTCCAAACTCACTTGAATTATGCTGAATTTTGCACATGTTGATTCATGAATTTCTTGAAAATTCGAAACTTATATTGCTCAATTCGCTTTGTTTGTCAAATTTTATGCCATGAAATTGCTTGATTATGTCTTTATATTGCCTTGGGAGTATTTTGAGACTTGTTTGACTCAATTTGGTGAAGAAATGAACGATTCACCATTGTTGAACCTCTTAAGGTCGGGAGAACAATGTGGCTTGTTCTTGATGTTTTGGCTAGCAATTCTTGTCCAATTTGTCACAATAATTATCATAATATTGCAAGAAATTATTTGATTGCTTGAAAAATGCCATATAGGCTTGAATTGTAATTGTGCTCTGTTTTAGTACTACGTACTTTGTTTTTTACGAACATAGTATCATGCGTCTAGGCGAACCTTAGATACTATAGAACCTTAATTTTTGTCAATTTTGCACAATGTAGTATGGCTAGACAGCGAGGTTCCAGTTCCCGATCCTAAGACACACGACGGGAGCACGAGCCCGTTCAAGAGGATGCCGATCCATCTACCTCTGTCGGTCCCATCCCTGAGTGGGACGAGCGGACGCTGTTCTTTGCCCCCGAGCACCATATTTCTGAGAGGGTGCATCGCGGGATTGTAAGTGGTAGGACGCGCAACCATGGCTCGGGCAATGACACCCTGGGTAAGCTGTACAACAAGTATTTCAGGGGCGATAAGGGGCTGCGACTTCTTTGGGAGTCTTGTGGGCTGACTGCCCTATTCCGGGCTACGCAGGCCATGTACTCGTTCGATGCAGGCCACCACATGGTTCGCGCTTTGGTGGAGTTCTTCTGGGACACCACCGACACTTTTCACTTTCCTTGGGGTGAGATGACTGTCACCCCAGCCGACTTCAGTCTCATCTCGGGACTGGAGTTTTGCTCGACCGCGCTGTCGTTTAACAGCTCCATAAGCGGTTTCTCTCCTGTGGTCGACGAGCTGTTGGGTCCGATTGTTGTTCGAGCCCGTGTTGAGGTGGAGCCATCATGATTTAACTCTAGGTGCATTTGCCGGTCGACTCTAGCGATGGCTTTTGAGGACGATGCGACCACCCGAGAGCAGCGGGTGCGCATCTTTGCACTTATTTTGTTGTCAGGGACCTTTTCTCCTGACAAAGGTAGTCGGGTGCTGCTTTACTACCTTCCTGCTCTCCGCGATCTTCAGCGGATCGGGACTTACGATTGGGCCAGCTTGGCCTATGCTGACTTTTTGAAGGGATTGCAAAACTCCTGTCGACATCGGTCTTACACAGGAGACATCGCTCTCTAGCTTCTGGAGAGTCGTAGAGGTATACTTTATCTCTTAAAAGTTAGCTCTAAACTCCTATTAGCACCTGCTAATATCTTTTTATCTTTGTAGATCTGGTTCTACGAGTACTTTCCTTCGCTTGCGCCGGCGAGGCCGTCTCCACGCGAGTTCCCTTTTGGCGCCTGTTGGGGAGGTCGCTTTAGTAACCAGGCGACTACTGCCCGTGTTCGAGAGCTGATCCTCTCGGTATGTTCTTTTTTTGAATAGTTGACATATTTGTATCGCTTTATCTTATAGACATTCTTTGCAAGAGCCTGATGTATTGTACTGGCCATGGGGCGGTTTGGTTATTCCTGCAATGGGTGCGCAGTACACTGCTGAGCGTCGCTACTTTCAGGGGACGTATGAGGCGGCGGTGTACCTAGGAGAGAGAGTTACTATTCAGCAC